CCAAAAGCATCTGTATCCAGCCTTGTTCAGCACTGGCTCCATACCTCTTGTCCTCTGTTCATCCTTGTGTATTGACCATAAATGCCTTGCCTCTGTCGTATGGAAGAGGGAATAAATTGTGTCTGTGTACATCTGGACTGGGAGGGAGAGGGTGAGAAAATGAGCCATGTGCAGAGGCAGCGTGGGATTTAGGAGAGCCCCAGTGCAGCAGGAAGCCAGTGGTGAGGGCAGGACAGCACTGAGTGTGGAGAGGGCCTGGCAGAGCTGGAGGGGTGATCTGGGAGAGCTGCCAAGGCAGGCCAGCCCTCATGGAGAGACAGCAGGCAGCCAGGAGTGCCTCAGCACTGGAATAACAGACTTTGAAGCATGGTTTGGCAGAGGAAGGGTCAGATATCTGATGTGGCTTAGTCACAGAGCCTTCCAAGAGAAGTGGCTGGCTGCATTCCAGCAGGAAGGCAGCAAGGAACACACTAACAGGGTTTCAATTAAAAATAGAAAGTAATTCTTGAAGTGACTGGATAAAATCTGTAATGTATCTGGCTGGAATGGAATTAAGAAATGTTATCTTCCAAAGAAGTTTACAGACAAATGATGCTTTGTACACTGCCGTTTCAGTTAAACCAGGATGCTTGGATTTAGATCTGGTTCTGAGACTTTCTGGGGTGGAAAATCTGAAGGAAACTTCCATGATTACATTTTTTCCAAAGATCCTTTGTACACTGTGATGTTAAGGGTTTGTTATCTTCTGTACTCAGCCAAGTAGAGATCATGTTGGAATGCATCATCCTTCCAGTTGTCACCGTACAAGCAGCAGCAGATGTGATTCCCAGTGCTTACACTGTACTTACAGCTGGCTTGGCTTTGCAGCACATGGAAGCACCAATATCCCAGCTGCCCAGGCAGCCTGTGACATACCAGGTGTAGGTTCTGACAGTCATTGGAAAGGGAATTTACAGAATCTGTGCACAAGCTTTTGAACATTTCTTTCTGTTTTTTTTATTGTTGTTTCCACAGGACCTGAAACTTCCCCTGATTCTACTGCACTTGATAATTCTTTCAACGAACAAGAATCCATTCAGAGTCAGAAAAGTCCTTTATCAGAGTCCATAGATGTGAAACCCTCTGAGATGTCTTTAGCACTTCCTCTCCCGATTGGGACTGAAGACCATCAGATGCTGCTCCCCGTGACAGGGAGCCAGTCCCCTTCATCAGAAACGTTACTGAGATCTGCTGTGACAGGATATTCAGAACCTCAGTTCATTTTCCTGCAGCAGTTGTACTGACAGAGCAGTGCAGAGCCATCCAGGTAGTTTGGTAGTGAACTTGGGAATGTTTGGTAAGATGAACACAAACAACCAGTCATGCTCTCAGAGTTGGACATGTTCGTTGTTTTCCTCTGTGTAAAGACACCTGTAAGGCATTTCCATTGTGCAGTGCTGGGCTGTGCTAATCTACAATCAAATTTCTGTTTGTCATTAACACTAATTTCCAGGAGATGATTCCGGCAACACACCTGCCTTAAGAATTCTCTGTTGCATGTGTTAATGTGCTCTAGAGCTCTCTTCCATATTCCTGCTGAGTTGATGTGTCACAGTGTCATTTGAGAACAGATATTTTAAGCCATAGTTGATAGTTTAGGAAGTTTAACCCAGAGGTGTTAGGAGAAATCATAATTTGGATGTAATAGCCTGCACTCCAAGGTGCTAGAATGGTCCCTGATGAAGGCAGGTCAGTGCTCTGCTGAGGTTGCACAATTTGCTGCCTGCCAGAAGTGCCATCTTCAGGTGGAGCCTGACCAGAGGGAAAGGTTTGGGTGTTATTTTCCTGACAACAAAAGTAAAGGAGGGTTAATTTTTGTCTGAAGAGTAGCAAGTGGGAGCATCCTAATGGCATAGATACTCCTGGGTCTTCTTTCCAACAAATTGCCTTTCTTTGTTTGAAGTGAATCCAACATTGTTGTATCTTGTCTCAGATTTATTTTTCACATCCTTAAAACACCATGGGTTTGGCACAAATAGCAACAAAAGGAGAACTGGGACATGCATGTTGTAGATGAGGTGAAAAGATGCAGTGATTAATTAGTGAGGCATGAATCAGAGCTTGAAAATCCTTTTTTTTTTCTTTTTGCTGTAGTGGTGCTGCTTCTTGTGCTAGACAGGAGGTACAAAAGAGGAGATAAATCCCGCCCTTCACTGTGAAAATAATAAGTGAACACTACATGAGGAGGCATTAAAGCAGATTGATATTCTTCCAGGCAAGGTTTTGTTAAAGTCTGACTGATTTGTTTTAATTAAAGTTTTTTGTATTGCTTTACCTCTCATGTCACTTGTCCACAGTAACTGCACAAAATTGGTACCTAGCAAGGCCCAGCAACAGACATATTTAAAAAGCAACATTTTAATGTCTTGGTAGGGTCATAAAAAACTAGGTGACAATAGAAGTACTTTTCTACTCCATTTTGCCAGTTTGTGCCATTAACAATTGTAAACATTATTTATGTAATAATCAAACAGTAATGGAACAGTCATGATACTGTACCAACAATGCATTTAAAGCTATCCTTTGTTGGTTATTTACTTGGTGCTAGCATTTATTTCCACTGATGCCTTGTGTCCAGACGCTGATAAATAGAAGAGCATAGAAGATACCTCTGAACTGATTCTGTTCTACATGGAGTAATAATTAATCTGCACCTTAATTAAACAGACTTGTGAAAAATTTCTTGAAGGATTTCATTTAAAGAGTCTGAAAATGGTCCCTTGACTCCTGAGTGTGACTGTAATTTTTTTTTCTCTTCCTACATGTTTGTATCTGTAAAGTAATAGACCTTTTGCTGTTTTGTGTTGATCTTTTTAGTATGGGGCATGTTTATAACCTGCTGCTTGGTTAAATTTTATGCTTTAATATATAGTAGATTTGCTGATGAAGCCTACCATGGCCAGCAGGAGTACAGCCATGTTCAACAGGAACATCCCTAATGCAGGAATCTCACACTGTCCTCACTGGAGATAGTTATTGCAGGGCCTTTAATTTCCCTGCTTGGCTGTCCCACAACGCTTATGAACAGCTGATGTTCATAATGCTGGCAAATGTCAAAGGATAAAGTTCTCTGGTATTTTATTTTTGGCATTTCCCTTTGCCTCTCCTCTTGTGTCTTTCAGCTTCTGTTGTTGGTGTAGCCCCTGAGGGATTCCTCAGCCTTTTGAGACTGAAGAACCACAAAATTGGGATTTTGACCGTGTGTAGCTTGTACTAAGCTTCCTCTTTCCTGTCTCTCTCTGAAAGTAGAGCATAAATCTTGGGATAGACGTAAGTGTAGTCATGAATACTGAGAAAGAAAATGCTGTACAACTGATAACTTGCATATTTAAACAGCTTTGGAAGATAAATTAATGATGTGCTGCTGGTAGCTGAGGAAAAGCAGCTCAGGATAAACATATCCAGGATAAATGACCAGGAGAGATAATAGCTCTGGAGAGAAACCTAAACAATAACTACATTCCTACATAGAAAATGCATTCCATAACAGTGTTTGTTTGGACTGGTTATATATTTCTAATATTATAGCTTATTACTGTATTCTTAGATTTCAGACTTTTTTAAAAAATACAGTGCTTAGATTTATACAGGATTTGTTTAGATACTTATAACAGTAACAGTTGCTTTATTAGTCATTTAGTTTTCTTTATAGACAAGAAGATATTCATTATTTTTTACAAGACAACAATTTTAACCTTTCTTAATAGAATACACAGGCTTTTAGTTTTGTCTTGGAGCAATAATTTAGTGACCTGAACTCTTGAGTCCCCATCTGAGAATCTTGATTTTTATCCTCATCTTTCGTGAAGATATCTCAGCTGCTGAGGTATGATCTCTACCAACTGTATTCATTTACTAGAATATAGATTTTAAATAAATAAATATATATAAATATATATATATATATATTTGTAGGTGTGTTCAGGCTGTAGGTCTGAACCTACACCTGTACCTTTTGCCAATAGATGCATGGAAATCAGCTGCACATGTAAGCCCTGGGCTTAAGGATTCTGGGTTCATTTTGAAGTACAAGGCTTATAACAGTATTGGTAATTTCTGTAAGGGATTAATAAGGGAGAGCATGGAATCTTTCTAGGCATGTGTCCTTGCAAAAGAAAAGAAGGAATTTCAATAGTTCTGTGAAGAGTAATACAAAGAATGTGACATGTTTTGTCACACTGCTGTTTCAGTCAATTTTGCACTGAGGTTGGTGCAAGTTATGCCTGAATAGCTTATCTGCGTCTCTAAATCTCCGAATTGACTGTTTGATGGTGAAAATATCTCCTTGTATCACGTTTGCTTCTAAATTAGTGCCTCTAAGTGGGCACAAAGCATGACAACCTTTCTGAAATCACGTGCTACAAAACAATTTTCAAGTGCAGACAAGTCCCACATGAAGGATGTCAGGACTGTGATCCAGGAGAGGCTCAATAAGCCTTGCAGCACTAAGTTCAGATAAGGACTAATGACTGATTTCTTTGGTTAAATTATTTTTAAAGTATCTGCCATGTATATACAATTTTTCCTCTGTTATTTGTATATACCTCAACTCTCAATTTTATAATTCCCTGGGAAGGGAGGGAGTTGTACATATTTAGCCTGAAGTGTTTTATGTTAGACTTTAATAAACTTGTTTTATAATTTTCCCTCACCTTGTGTCTCCTGTTTATAACTACAAGGGGTAGCAACAAAAACAGGAGGGAACCAGTCAGACACAGCCCCTGTCACCACCCTGGCACGAGGACATTGAGCACACAGTAGGATTTGGGGGACCTCTGCTGCACCCCTGCCCTGCTGGATCAGTCACTTGCCTTCATTTGTCTCCCCTCTAAAACTGGGGGGGAAATGCTGCCTTTCAGCAAGGTACAGTGAGGTCTAAAAGTTGAAAACAATAATTTTCAGAGCTGGATTATGCTTGATTTAGCTCCTGAATAACTCAGAAGAACATGGCAAAAAGAATCTAGCCTATGTAAATTCTCTTATTCCAAACAACACAAGGTACATCTAAGAATTTCAAGGTCAGAGAAAGGAAGAAATAGAAGTCTCTAGCATGGTCTTCTTTAAGCAATACAAGGTTTTGCACAAATAATTGTTTTAGTTTAGAGGAAGCTGTTTATACAGAATTTGGTAGGAGTTACTCTGCAGCCCTTTCTTACAAAGGAATATCAAAGAAAACTGTAACACATGAGCTGTTTTTATGGATATTGTCAGTAATGAAGAGGGCTTTATGGGCTGAACAAGCTGCTGTTAAACAAGGGTTCAGATAGAGTGCAAATACTTCACACACATACACCAGGCACCTTTAGATGCCATTTTACCTGATATGTTTTCACTGTGATATTGTTGCCATCTTACCACATCACTAAAACCACAATGTTGCTGTTGGTAGAGTTGGGTACCTGTTAACTGCCTCAGATTAACAAATGTCATTCATACAAGTAAATTAAAATTTAATTTAAGCAGTGAAATTCGACTGAACTTCATATACCTGACAAGGTGAAGAAAGATACATGTTAGAAAATACCTGTCTGAATCTTGCAGTGGTATCTATAGCAAGAAATTCTGTCACCAGTGTGACAGTACTGACACTATCAGAGTGTCACCTGCAATGATCCAGAGCAGCAGCACTCAGAAAAGTACCAACCCAGGATTATCAAATGACTTCAAAATTTAGGAATGCTCATAGCAGATTCTTCTCAAACCACCATGTTTGGTGTATCCCCAACTTTCAGCTCTCGTTGCTGCATCTTTCCTGCTGACCAAGAGTTAAAATACAGAGCTGGGTGTTCACAGGGTGATGTATGGACTTTGTGCTCAGCACGGTGACTGCAGGCTGGGAGGGCCCTGTGCAGGTGTGCAGAACAAACATTCCTGCTCTGGGTTTAGCTCTAAGTCCTTGGAGGATACCAGGGGCTCTTGCAGCAAGAGCTGAGTAATTTGTGTTTGGGGATGAGGGCGATGAAAAAAAACAACAAACCAAATGACAACAAACCTCCATCCATACCAGCTCTCACATCTGCCCTGGTCATTTCAGCTGGGGAAGAGGTGTCCAAATGTCTTCCTGTTCCTACTCTACCACAGTGATAATACAGACTCAGAACAGCAGCAGGTACACTGCTGCTTCCCAGCTAGTTTTACTTTCTTACATTCTTCCCCTCATGCTTTTGCTCTTGTACATACAGTCACAGATCGTTCTGGTACTTTATGCTAATATTTAACACACACATTTAGAGGGGCAGAGGATTCCATTAATGAAAGGCTTGGAGCAAACCCCTGCTGTCCTGTTTGTTGACTTTTCCTGTTCAGGAACATAAATTAAATCACTTCTGCAGGAATGAGAAGAGTGAATGGAAAAAAGGAAACCAGCAGAGTGATTCCTAAACTTACACAAACCATTAAACAATGTTTACCATTACATGGATACGTTGTCTTACTCATGTGTAGGAATTGCCACGGGGCTACAATGATACAAATGTTTTTAGGCAATTTTCATGAGATGAGAAGAAATGACAGAAGATTTGGTGGTGGTTTCTATTTGTAGTATAAGAAACAAGTAAATGCTATCATTTAATTAAAATTCCATGTATATCCCAGCAAACTGGGTTCACCAGCTTTAAATTCTAGCATGGCTGTGCATAATGCTTAAGTTCACTTACCTTGATTTTTAAAATGTCACTACTGGAAAAAGATCAAAAGGATGGACTTGCTAAGGAAAAGGAAAGAGTTCATGGAGAACAGTGCTAACAAATGGATTTACCCAAAGCTCTCAACATCAGCAGGAATCTGACTCTGCAGGATACCTGATCTGCTGCCCAACAGCAGTCCTGGGTGTTACTTTTGTCACTGTGCTCTGCCTGGCTGCAAACCTTTCCATAGTTACAGACTTTTAATAGATGGAGCATGATTTAGCAACAAATTTGGAGGCAATTTGTTTGATATTTTCTCTCTGTTGCCATTTCAAGCAGGTGTAGATTCCTCCTAGACTCAAACCCCGAAGAAACAACGTGCACCAAGTGTGATACTGATACAACCTATTTTACTAGAAAGCAGGTAGGGAAAGCTCAGGCTCTGGGAGTGCCCAGGAATGGGCCTTGCTCACAAATACTCGGAGACGGGGACGATCTGCAGGCTGGCGTTGGCGGCGCCGGGGGCCACGGCGGCGCAGCGCGGGGTCCAGTAGCGGTGCTTGGCCAGCCCGTGGGACTGCTCTGCCAGGAGAACCTCCCCGTCCACCTCGTAGGGAGCCACGTCTGTGCAGCCCAGCTCCAGGCGGCCCACTGCCATCAGCTCCGAGAATGCCTGCGACGAAGGAAACCGGGATTTACCACAGGCAGCACATGGCACTTGGTCCCTTCGGCGTGCTGAGCTCCAGGGAGGCTCATCCCAGCACTGTGGGACTCAGATTCAGTCAGAGAGAGAAACGAGAGTTTCTAGCCAGGGAGAAGCCTGGGAAAGAGCTGGGGAAGAATGTAAATAATTCTCTATCTCTCTTGTTGTTCACATTGTTTATAGTTAAGTTCTATCACTGTGCATCAAGCACTCTGCACCGATGCTGTGGGCTGTTTTCACTTCAGCACCAATGTAGTTGGTCCTCACAAAGCTCTGTATAAAAGAGCAGTGTATTTTGAATAAATAGGAGTTTTACTCTCACAGCCTTCTGGTCAGAGTCTTCTCATTCCCATCCTGCCCTGACTGCAACACAGCACCGCCGTTTTATAACCACATTAAAAAGTGCAAATAAATCAGGTGTCTTGTTCACTAATTGCTGTAGTCCTCCCAACAACAGAAAGACAAATTAGAGCAAGCAAACCCCAGCCTTCTCAGATGAGTTCACAACCAAACACTTACCACACAGGTGCTTCTATCAATTTTGTTCCCCCAGATGTAAATATGGGAAAGTGCCATGTTGGAATGCATTGCCTGTGCAAGAGCTACAAGTCCTTGGCCAGTTATATTGTTGCTTACAACGGACAACCTAGAAAACAGAGAAAATGTGTGCCAAACCATAGAATTCCCATCTCTTAGTTTTAACTAAGAATTTAACTATGATTTAGTCTATTGTTATATTTCATACATACATAGAACTTTTTTATTTGTAACATAATAATTTATTAGTATCAAAGCCAGTCCTACTCCAGTATCTTTTTCAGGTTGCCAAAGGCAGTTGGCCTCTGGACTTATTCCATTTCTCAAAGCACTTTCCTGACTCTTGCAACCAGGTTGCTCACTATTGCATTCCTCAGTGTCAGTGACTTTGCTGCACGGTGGCCAGGTCTCATCTCTAGTCTGCTTTGAAGCCCAAGTCTTGGCATTTATCCAGGCTAAGCTTTGATCTTTGTGAAGTGGCAGTTATTTTTATATTAGAGAACCTGCAAGGCTTTCAGAGGCAGCCACCTCCTCAGTCTGCTGCTTAAAACTAATGGCTTCAGGTAACACCTTTGATCAGCTTTTATGTCCTGCCTGCGGGGTTTAACGCTGCTGCAAAAGACACCCTGATGGAGAGATTACAGCTCTTCTGGGTTCACCCGGAAGCAAACTTAAACAGAGGATTTTCTTAAGTGTTGAAGATCAGAACCAACAAATATAGTGCCTTATCCCAGCGTGGAATCTGATTATCTCAAAATTCTGGAGGCCTACAGCTCTTGTTTTCGTTTGTGCACCACAGGGACCTGCGCTTCAAAGGCACAGAAGGAGATCAATGGCCTCACCCTGCACCTTCTCAGAGGGACTGTGAAAGCTGTGAGAGCTCTGAGCAGACCTGGGGCTCACCTCCAGCACCCCAGGGTGCTCCCAGGTCTTGGAGCAGCTCACACGGCAGCAGACACCGATGCTTAATAAAGAAATCCCACCCAGTCTCTCACAGGTTTGTTTCCCCGAGAAGGAAAAATTGCCTAGAACGTTTTGAACTTGGTGACTTTCCTGTTGTGATCAATACGAAGACCCAGAGCTGTGATGCCATTTCAGCCATTGCAAAGTGCAGGTTTCTTAGCTGCAGTCTCTGGGGAGGCTGTGCAAATACTCACGCCTGCAGAGTCCTGTTCCGCGTTGCCAAGGCCTGACTCAGGCAAATGGCTCCAACATCTTCTATTCGGTTTGCACCGAGATCCAGGATCTCCAGGCTTCTGTTCCTTCTTAGCAGCTCTCCCAAAAATTCCACACCATCAGAAATGATGTTATTACTGAAAGAGAGATGCACATGTTTAATTTTTTTTCTAAGCTCCTAAGAAAATGAATTTCTAATGTGCCACATTTAATCACTCTCACCAGCTAAGGTCAAGGTATCTCAGGCTGGAGTTTTCATACAGGGCCTCACACAGTCGTTCTACACCGAAGTTTTTCATTTCATGCTTGCCCAAATGTAGTTCCACAAGAGAAGAGTTACTCCTCAACATCCGAGCCATATGAACTGTGGTCTCTTCCTAGAAACATACACTCAATTTTATTAAGCTGGACTTTAGGATAAGATACAGCTGTGCCTCAGTAAAAGAGTGTTATGCAACTAACTGCAAGATCTGGTCATCAGTAGTGTTGTATTTTTTATATTGTATAAAAATAACCACCAAACAACATGTTATGATAAAGCTAAAAAGGGAAAAAAAAAAAAGATAAGAAAAATACTATAGGGATATTTGCAGTTTTACAATATTGTCTACATCCCTGCAAATGTCAGTGAAGCATCAACATTTAATTCTGTAGTTCAGATGTCCATAACTCTCTGAGTTGACTCCACAGTCACTCACATACCTGTTGGCTGGATAGCAAAGGACGATTTAGGTTTATGGCTTTGAGTGATTTGTTCTGTGTCAGGGCTATGGCTGTTGCTGTCAGACACTGCGGGCCCTGGAAATGAAAATAAACTCTTTAGAGAAACCTGTTTAGTGTATAGATCCAGCTACCAAATTGTCATTACTATTATTTCTGCCTTCATCTACTCTGGAGGTAGAGAGATGGGACTATAGCAGGCAACTGCTTACAGACACAGAACAGATTTTCTGATAATACCAATGCCAACTGCTTATGGAATAGCAGAGTGAAATTAGACTAAGTAGTACAAATGACTTGGCAACTCAGAAAATAAAAAGCAAGAATAATAGATCTGAAAAATACTTGTCCATTCAATTGATCCTATATTTTGATTTCCTTGATTTATGAGGCAAAATCAGCTTATCTGTGTTCCCCTAATATTAATCCACCAGGTAAATTCAGATTTGGTATGAATCGGGATAATTTAGATTTTTTAAATAAATATCCTTCTAATTTGCCCTCTATTTTATATTTATGCTACTTTTCAAGTAGGCTGGTCTGTACCAAAGCCATCTCATTTTAAACCAATTCTATCAACTCCCTACCAAGCACATACATACCAAGCTTTTGAATAAATCCTACACTGCCTACACTTCCCTTGTTCATGTATTCATAACACCTTCACACTTTCTAAGGGGTATTTCTCCTTTTGGCTGAGAAGCAAATTCTGAATTTCCAAGAGACAAATGTAGGCTTTTAAAAGTAACCTACAACTTCCTGAGTCTCCTTGTGCAGTGTGTAGGAAGTCCCAGTGCCCAGCTTGGAGGAACCACATTGTCCAAGAGTAAATTCGGTGCTTTTCTACTCAATCCAGCACTGCTGTGCTTATGTCCTTTATGGATCACACTCTGAGAGAAGCTATGGGATGAGTGACTTTCAGGGGTTGCAGCACTGCTAACTTTAGAAGGAAAAGATTCTCCAGGGAATAAGAAGTCCATTCTTCAAAATGAAGTATACAGGACTTAGCTCAACAGACAGGAACAGCAGAAAAAAACTCAGAAAATGTGCAAACCAAGCACTTGAATTCCCAGAGAGACATGGTGGCTCTAAAACATTCCCAGTTCTGTCTTCACAGGTGCTTTATGCAATGTGCCTTTTCAAGCACACATTGCAATATTATATATTCTGTTACCTCTGGCTGTCACAAAATCAATGACAACAGATGGCATTTCCCCCTAATTAAGCACTGCAGGACCCTTGTAATACCCTTGAAAGACTTATGTCTTATTGCTGATAATTTTACTGGGTTACTCACCACATCACAGTCTCCAAGATCCAACTTCTCTAAGGCTGAGTTATTTTTTAGCATTGAAGCAAAGAACATCCCACCTTGGTTTCCTATTTTGTTTCCAGTCATTCTCAGGTGCATAAGACTTTGATTGCTCTAGACAAAATTTTAAAATATATATATTCCTTTAAGATGGCCTTAAAACAGCAGAAAAAACACTGTCCTGTTTTTAATGTGAATTTTGCTGGTTATCACACAGAGACAAAACAACCTTCCAGAAGAATTGTGTCTAAGTGATAACACTGGCTCAGCTCTTGGCTCAGGCTTCCCTCAGTGGCACCAAATATGAGAGTCTGCAAGCAAAACTCCTCTATTTTCTTTCTCCCAAGTTCATGAATTTTGTCACACTCATGAACATAATCCAGGCAAATATTTCTGCCTAAACTGGCATCTGAGATGCAAATTGCCTTAATACTAATTTAAATCTGGTAAGCCTTGTATGAGCCCAGCATTGCACATCTACTGCACAGCCTTAGTGTTTTGGAACCCTGTCAAATTTAGTTGAAATCAGTTCAGGGTTCAAAGACTGTGAAGGAGGAAAAAAGAGCTCATGTGAGTCTCCTTTCACAAACACAACAAATCTTACACACAAGTCTCATTTCCTTGGGAAACCACATTAAAATTAACAAACTTGAGTTTGTGGTGCTGCTGTAAGGCAAAGTTTTGAAAACATGCCTCAGACATCTTGAATCAATACAAATATTGATGTCAAAGTACAGGCAAATTTAATTTAATTTTTTTGGGGGGAAAAAGGGGAAAAAATGATGGCATTATATATCCTGTAGCATAGCATTTTTCACACTGAAAAACCCAGCTGCAATAGTCGTGCTTTTTATAGACAATTATGTCTTTTTTATGGATAATGAAGTGTTAATGGCAGCACAGTGCAACTTTCTCTTGTGTGAAATCTGATTTCTGAAGTGTGCCTTGGGAAACCAGGCAATCCCTGTGACACAGCAGCATGCTGAATGGAGCAAAGACAGAGGCTCCTTTCAGCCAGCTCTGATGTTGGCAGCACAGCCAGTGCTGGTCATCAAAAGAAAAAAGATCAAAGGAGATGCTATTGCCTCAATCTCCCAGGCAAATACTCACATGGAGTGCTCCTGCTATCAGCTCTGCCCCACTTGTGCTAATGTTATTGAACATCAGGTTCAGATACTGCAGAGTGGAGTTTTCCTTGGGAGCAAACAAAGCAGGAAGCAATGAGAGGGTTTTTTTTTTCCAAAACACAGCTGTATTTTTCAAAAAGGAGATACATGTACAAAACTCTGCCCTTCGCAGCATTTCAGGCAGTTCATGAGTTGGAGAAGTAGTTAAAGAATGCCAAATTATGTCAGGTGATGAGGGCAAGGCATAAAATCTGTCATGGAGCCCTGTGCATGAGGCAGGTGGTCAAGTTCAGATGCACAAATTCAGGCATTTTGTGAACCTTACAGTGCCCCTAAATTCTAGGAACACAGGCACAGGGTGACAACTCACTATTTTCCACCTGTATCCCAGTGCTGACAATGACAAAAAGGCTGCATTAAAATTCCCTACATTTAGGCCTATAAAAAGGCTAACAGAGATTATAAAATAGCTGAAACAAAGGCCCTGGCACACTTGGCACAACCATTACTACACCCTTGGTTGAATTGAACTGTGAGCCTAAAAGCCCCATAGTTAATTCCATCATTCTTTTCTCAGGACACTGCAGCCAAGTATCCAAAGGTCTTCTACCAGAATTTAAAAAACTCCACAGAGAATACAGTCTGAGGTTCTAGTAGGATGGATTGGGATGTGATAGTCAAAGTTATTGGAATTTTGCCAAACCAGCTCATTCTAGTCCCCAGTATAAATATTACTATAGACAAATAAATTACAAGTTGCTGAAAGATAAACATTTCTTGGCACCTGGAGGAATGTTGCCATGATCTTTGCTCCAGCATCAGTCAATAAATTATAGGCCAGATCCAAACCTGAAAAAGATGAAGAATAAGGAATGTGACAAATGCATATCTGCATTGAACTGATCTCTGAACAAAAAGAAACAAAGATGAACCAAGGCAGAAATCAAGACTGATCATGTTTCCTTGTATTAGCACAGCAATGTCTAACACACAGGGAAAAATCGTACCTGTGACAAAGGCAGCTTGGCCTAAGACAGAGGCAAGAACTCCAAGATCATCATCTGTAACTCTTGGCACAGGCACCAGATGATTATTTCCAGCTAATTTTAATGTGATTCCTTTTGTACTTCTGCAGTAACATAAAAATGTAGGGACATGGGGAGAAGTAAAACAATAGCGAGAAATTAATTCTCTTTCCAGATCAGAGGTGTGCCCATGCCTGCCCTCACAGGTGGTGTGATCCAGGCAGTACCTCAGCACTGCCCTTTCTGAGGCACTGCTCATGCTTGTACTGAAAGCAGGAATAGCCAAGATGAGGGGAAGGCAGATGGAAGTAAAGATTATTTCAGAGGTTACCTCATCATCTTCTTTTTCCTTGCTCTCTTTCCTTTATTTATTTATCCTGCCCTCAGGATCAAAACCTAACACAAACCATTTCATTTTCTCACTTTTTTTTCCCCCAAAGGACAATCAACTTTGATCCCAGCACCGTCCATGAGAAGAAGCAGTATCCAGACCCTTAATGAGAGGGAATTTGGGTGGTTAATAACTTGGCAGGATTCAGTGACAACTCAGGGAAGTATGACCAGCTGGAAGGTAACTGGATGCAGCTGAGGCTTTTTAAACAGGAGTGAGACACAAAGAAGGGAGTCAGGATGACTAAACACTGGGTTTGGCTTTTTTAGGGGACAGAAAGGCACCGTCCTGTACATTTTTCACTTTTTTTGATTTCACTGCTTGTAAAGCTGCCCAGAAAGGATATATAGCTACAAACTTCTGCCAAGATGATGTCAAGATGAGTCAAACCAGAACTTCAGCAGTAAATGTTAAATTTGATTTATGTTTAAGCCTGAAACTGCATGAACTTTCTCATTTTTCAATTCCTCATCCTGCTACCCCGTTTAAAGCTTTCAGAAGCATCTGAAACACCCCACTTGTTATTTTCTTACATTTCATCATTTTTATCAGCTTCTTGAAGCACACGAGCAATGAAGGGGTTTTCAGGCTGGCTCAAATTTTGACAAGCCTGCACATAATGCAGGTGAAGATCCGGAAGAACCGACATGACCTGCTGGAAAACAAAACCAAGTGTTATTGTGTTGTGTTGGCAGCCTAGCAACCAGGAGGGATCTGCACAGCAATACAAACGGGCTCGGTTTGGAAAGGGTTACAGCTCGTGGCTTGGAGTAACAGACCCAGAAAAGCATGAGGAAAACGGTGGGTGTGTTTTTGATGTGCTGTCGTTGGTTAGAGCACCGTGCTAATTTATACCAAGGTGGGCCATTCGCATCAGTGTTGAACTTGATTATTGTTCCAGCTCAGCATATTCTGTAATAAACTCAGAGATAAAAGAATCTGAGCTAAAATATAAGTGATCCCTGTGGCAGCTCAGCCCCACAGGCCTTACCTGAGCAATGCCAACCTCTCCCCTGTCCCCAGCTCAGCCTGCGGTGACCGGCCCGCGGTGAGTTCGGTAACGGAGCCCGTTCCCGGGGACGTGTCCCCAGCCCGTTCCCGGGGACGTGTCCCCAGCCCGTTCCCGGGGACGTGTCCCCAGCCCGTTCCCGAGGAGGCTGTCCCCGTCCCGTTCCCGGGGAGGCTGTCCCGTTCCCGTTCCCAGGGAGGCTGTCCCGGTCCCGGTCCCGTTCCCAGGGAGGCTGTCCCGTTCCCGTTCCCAGGGAGGCTGTCCCCGTCCCGTTCCCGGGGAGGCTGTCCCGGTCCCGTTCCCGGGAAGGCTGTCCCGTTCCCAGGGAGGCTGTCCCGGTCCCGTTCCCGGGAAGGCTGTCCCGTTCCCAGGGAGGCTGTCCCGGTCCCGTTCCCGGGAAGGCTGTCCCGTTCCCAGGGAGGCTGTCCCGGTCCCGTTCCCGGGAAGGCTGTCCCGGGCCCGTTCCCAGGGCGGGTGTCCCGTTCCCGTTCCCAGTGAGACTGTCCCGGTCCCGTTCCCAGTGAGACTGTCCCGGTCCCGGTCCCGTTCCCGTTCCCAGGGATGCTGTCCCGGTCCCGTTCCCAGGGAGGCTGTCCCGGTCCCATTCCCGGGGAGGCTGTCCCGGTCCCGTTCCCGTTCCCAGGGATGCTGTCCCGGGCCGGCAGCAGAGGGAGCGGGCGGGGGGTGCCAGGAGCCCCCCGGATCCCTCCCCAGACCCTGGGGCGGGGCAGGGCAGGTTCCTCACCGCCCCCCAGAGCACCCCTGCGAGGAGCCTTTGCAAAGCTGTCCATGGTTACACGGATCAGCTGCTCCTTCAAAGATTCCTGTGCTGGCACTTTCCAGCAAATAAATCCCTCTGGTGATTTCACCCTGCCCTCCTGGGCAGGAGGGGATGGACTCCGTTTTCCTGCGCTGCAGCCATGCCAGCAGCTGTCTGTGCTGGGTCTGTCTCGTAATCTGCGGCACAAACTTCCCCCAGGTTTGAAGAATCCCCCTGACACGAGAGGGCTCAGACCGGCTGGACAGCCTGGAGGAGATCCCACAGCAGCTCTGCTGCTGGCCCTCCCTGTCCCTCCCTGTCACACTGCACCTGCATCCTCCACCAGCGTCAGGACACTAGATCTGAGTGAAAAACACTTTGGTGCTATTCCTAAGGAATGTGCACTATCAAAAATGTATTTGTTCCTTTGGTTTACTTTTTATTTCATTGATACCTCCCTTTTGCACAATCCAAGTTCTCTGTTACAACCAAATTCACTTTTCCCTACCACAGTGAGAAGGGGCGTTGCACTGGTTCACACCTGAGCCTGGGATCCTCCTCATTGCTGGCATCTCATTCAGGGAGAAAACAGCAAGAACATGGAAACACTGACCTTTGTGTTGAATCATAAAGATGGAATCCTGACTGGAGGGATTGCTGCAGTTTTTGCATCTTTTTTTCCTGTGTACACTGGAAAATAAGAGCTGCATTTGCACAGAATCAATATGTCACAAAGTGAGCAAATGGATGTGATATTGTTAATGTCTTTAAATCTGTGAACATCTGCTGTTCATTGGATAATGAATGATTATGCACCCTTGGGCTATGGTAAGGGTAATAGTATTCATAGACATCTTTATTTTGGGCCTTAAAATATACTTTCCTTCTTGCTTAAAGCAATGCTTTTTTTCCCAAGGATTTTCTTTTCACTGCAGTTTTCTTCTTGAAGGTTACATTTACAGAACTAGTAATTTATGCAAAAGACTCACTTTCAGATTTCATTAATTTAAATTGCTCTCTGCTGCACTGTGCATACAAAGGAAATGAAGAAGCAGACTAATGTTTCTGCTGAGAAATAAAATGAAACCCATAAGAAATCTTTCCAGCACAGGAAACAACATAGATGTCTTTGCCAAAATTTCCACCATACTGTGAGGTATAATGTGACATTAATGAGCAGAATTTTCTGTGTTCATCTATCAACAGTAATGCAGCTCCACAGAATTTTCTTAGGAGATTTCTTCCCTAAAAACAAAATTCCAAAGATTACTATTTAATTGACGTAATATATCTTTTTTAATGACTGTGTCTAGATACCTGTGGAGGTGAAGGAACTGAAAATTTTAAATGCCTTAGCCTTTCTGAAAATAAATTCAGTATCTTTCCAAAGGAGATCTTTCTTCTGGAGTCATTAGAAAGATTATAGCTGGGACAAGATAAAGGAATTAAATGTCTGCCAGAAAACATAAGCAAATTGCAGGCAGGAACAATAGAAGGGGCAAGAGTTTGTTCTGCTGCTACAGGGAAATTCCATGGATTTCAGCTGCTCCCAAATGCAGAACTGGAGGGACTTTTAATCTCTTTAGGTACATGGTGCAGCATCAGGTCAGAAATGTCAGAACAGGAATAATATCAAAGCTCAGCATTTAAAACTCATGTTGTCTCTCTGTGTTTAATAATGATCCCAACAACATCCCAGTTTACAAACCCTACTTATGCACTTTACCTCCAGAAATGCACAGTACCTTGTTTGGAAATGTGGAATAGGATTCCAGACAGGCCACACACTTCTACCAGGACCTGCATTGCCATCCTGTCTTACAGAGCTGTAAAAAGCTGTTTGAAAGTATCTCCACACTTTTGTAAAACTGTTCACTGATGTTCTGACAATCTGCAGTTACAGCACTTTGAACAACTGCAAGCTGTCACTTCCTTAGTGGTGCTGCTCATCTCTGACATGGCCTGGGGACAGTTTGGCATGTTTATTTGAAAGCAGTGGGTCTGCAGGATGCAATTTCTGCCATGATTCTGGTTCTGACACAACATGACACCTTTGTTATTAAAAAGAACTATGACAAACATAATATTGCTATAATTCTTGCATGTCAAATTTATGTGCAACTATGTCTTTTCACAGCATTTGACAGGCAGACACCTGTTTGTCCTAGACACAATGTCCTTGTCTAGTTTTTATTCTGTATTGCTCAGCTACCCTCTAAGGCCCTGAGTTTCATTTGCAGTGTACACAGAGCACCAAGCTGGACTGAGGCCAGCCACTGTGCAGGTTCGAAATGCAGAGTGGGTGGGAGCAAAACCCTTTGTTTAGTTCAACTGGCTGGTCAGAACTGCAGTCCTGCTCTCCCTCCCCTTGCCTCAGGGAAGCTGGTGATGAGGAACCAGAGTTCCATCTCCAGGTAGTGCCCTCTGAATCTGCATCCAGGGCGTGGAACTCATTTCTGTTTAGCTCTTGATTGATACTGAAATCTCATTAACATGCTCATTGGCAGGAGAGAGCTGGGACTGCAGCAAAGTGGGACGGCTCTGTTCTGATTTTCCATTTCACTGGGTAACTGAGGCTGTTTTGATTGTTTGGAAATGTCTAATGAAAATTTTTCACCCTAAGTGAAAGCAAAGAGGAACAGTGAGAAGGATGAATCAGAAACTGCCAAGGAGGAAATCACTGGAAGAGAGATTTCTGGGCAGACTGGCAGATTGAGAAGACATTTAGTAGAGGTGATAAAAGGAACAAAAGCTTTTTAGTGGCACAATTGGCATGACAGAATAATAAGAAGGCAAAGAACAGAGCAGGGGGATCAGGGACAGAGGAAATTTTGCCAGCAGTGGGTCTATCCTGGGCTCTGGAGCTGAGAATGAGGAATCCAGCTATGAAAGCACAAGAAGCCCCAACACTGAAATTGAGTTCACTTAGGAAGATTTCAACAGAAAATAGACAATAAAGGTAAACTGAAGAGAGAGGTTCGAGTGGGAAAGGATTAATTCAGAGAAATTTTCACAGAACAGATAAAATATCAATTTCCCAGCTGGATCAAAGGTGGATTTGAGGAGCAAAGTCATCTGAAGACAAGTGATAAAGAGAACAGGTTGGTGTGATGCTGTTAAACTGACATGATGGTTTTTATTCTATAGAACAACTGTCCTGGCTTAAGTCACTGCTTGAACATCTCTCCTGTTAGCCCTAAAAGAAGCAGAGGGTCTTTGCTTTATTTCAGAGGTTTAAGATCTCACACAGCAATTCCCTGCTGCCCCTGACTGAGAAATGTGAGTTCAACTCACATTTCTCAAATCTGGGGGAGCCAAGTGCACTTTTCAAGTGGAACTGAAAGTGGAACCAGGAAGTCCAGAGTGACTCTTACATGAAATCATGGATTAAATGATCAATAGGTATCAGCACAGTCAGCTTCTGGTTATAGCCCTGAACAGGAAAAAGCTGATGTTGGACTGAAAGCTGAATATTGATCAGCATCTGCCAGGGAGAACTTGCTGAGGGGTGGGGGGCTTAGCAAGTTAGAAAGGTGCCACTGAATGATCCTGTTGTGCCACTCCTCCAGGACACTGCTGCAGCATGTAGAGATGCTCAGAGCTAATTGAGCAGTACTTTATCCCTCGAGCCGCCTCAGGATTTCTCTAAGACTCCTCACTCAGTGGGCAGATCTAATATCTTTACTTCCTAAAATACCTTACCTTTGAATAATCCCACTGCAGTGCTGGAGCTCACGTGTGGGTTAACATGCTCCATGACACAGAATTTGGCACTTACTGATTTCTCTGTAACCAAAATTCTTGTTGAAGTAGCAGGACATATCTCTGATTTAATGTACCATAGCTTTTTCCTTGCCCCGAGACTTGCAAAGACACCAATTAAGTGTTTCTTACCTTGATTTTATGCTGATTCTCTACACAGGACTCATCTATACTATGAGATGGTATCAAGGGCCAGAGCAGAGCTCCTTCTGTATTCTCCTTCCTGGACTAATCTATACTGTTGAGTTGTTAGGATGGATGCCAAATCTCCCACTTATGATTTAATTAATTCACAAAGAGGCAAAAGTTTGAGGGGAGAAGAAACAAAAATTTAAAACATGGATGTTTCAAGTATGTCCACATTAGAGGTATCTTCTGAGGCCACATTCACACTGCCCACACACCTGCATCAACACAAACCCCAGCCCCTCCACTGACCCCAGCATCGCTCTGTGGGCAGTGGCCCTGCCAATATTCACAACATGAAGATTGAGCAGAGTAAGTGTGGCCCAGAGATCTGAAAGGACATTATGAAATGGAATGATTGATGTTGCAGATGGTCAAATAACAGTTTTCAATAACTGTGAAACTATTTCAAGAGATTATTAAAGACTGCAGTCAGTTCTAAGTCAGACACATGTAATGCTTGCTTCACCTGCTGCTCCCAAAAGGCCTTTCAGACACCTCCAACCTTCATCAACAGTCCAAACGAATGTTTCTTTTGTTGTCTTGATTAAAGCCTTCCATTTGTTTCCTCTGGGACTCTGAAAGGGCCCATCTTTGCATGGCCAGCTCTGCCAAGGCTGGCAGCTGTGTCAGCACTGCCAACAGCTCCCCAAACCATGGCCCACAGTCCCGGCAGGACGACGGCCGGAGGCTCACATCCAGCTCTGAGAGTTCCTTGAATGCTCCTAAACCTTGGCAGAAAACAGCCCAGCCTTCATCAGAGATGTTGTTGTTATAACTCAAATCCAGCTTCTGCAATCTGGCTAAATGGCCATCTTGCCTCAGGGATGCTGCAAGAGATGACAGACACAAACACAATTAAAAAATCCTGGTAACTGCTTTAAAAGCTTCTCAGAAAAGAGAATACTATTTTAATACCTCATTTCAGCAGTCAAACAGCAAGATTTAACTCCTCAGCAACATAAAACCACCTGCTGCTGATCTCAGAAAGACAGTTTTATAACAGCTGAAGGAGTTTACAACACTTAAAGCAGAGGCAGTTCAAAAGGAACAAAGTATTGAGTTAAAAGTGTGTGGCCACCTGAAAACCTTGGAGTCAGTTGGAAGGATGTTACATTGAGTGCCAATTGTAAGAGGCAGACAGACTTTACAAGGAGATTTAGAAAGAGGAAAGCAAAACTAGGTGAGGCTGCATGACTGACTACAACAGCCACCTCTCACTGTGGGAAGGACAAATATACCCTAAAAGGGTCCTTAACATATGCTTGGCAAAGGAGACACCCATCAGGGGTGATGGTTTGTAAAGTCAGAAGCATTTGGGCTTCACCTCACCAGATTTCATATTCCAGGGCCTTACAGTTATCTTACAGCAATTCCCAACGTCAGACACTCAAACCCCTGAGTCAGGCCCACAGACTCAGAAGGAGGAGTATAAAATTAGCAAGTTTTTAAAAGGATCCTAGAATTTATTTCTTTATCAGGTTCCCATTTTCAAGTATTTATTAGCAGCTAAGAGGTAGGTGGAAATTTATTTCCACCTAAGAGGTAGGTGGAAATATTTCTGGTTTAATTGTCTCCCAGTTGTCCAGCTCTAGAAACCCACCTAATGGTTGGGAGCTGGTAGTATTCCTGGCTGTCAGCACAGACATTTTCTCTAAAGTACTGAGCCATAAAACAGCATCCGAGCAAAATAAAACTCCTCAGATGCAGCTTTAAATATTTGATATAAAAACATTTTCTAAATTATGCTTTTTTTTTTTTTTTTTTTGTATTAATAGATAAAAGTGCTTAAAGATTCTTTGCATTTTAGCCTTTTCAGCTTTTCCACTGGGCACGTCCAGGACACACAGAAAAATGAAATCCCTTTGTGGGAAAAATACTCTGTATTTTCCATGTTTTCATTTGATTTATGCAAAAACATGCTCAACCCATGGAACAACCCCCTTCTGAATTGTGGTCTAAATGCCCTAGTTCCTTTAGTGCTAGTAAATACCATGTTATACTTACTTAGAAGTGCCAAATCTTCAGCCACCAGGTTACAGCTGCTCAGTCTTAACACTTGAATCTCCGTTGCAAGCTTTAGTGCTCCCAAAAGCAGCTTTAGGTTCCCACCAACGCACTTATTCCAAGAAAGGTCTAATATCTCCAGTTCAGGAAGGTGAAGGGCGGCCTCAGCTGAAAAGATTAAGACCAGCAACTTCTGCTTACTAAGAGAAAACAACATGGCCTCAACAGACACCTCACCTGCAATTCACCCATAAGTAAGATCCTAAGAGCCTGACTGCTTTTGCTTAGAATGAATTCTTTTATCCCAATAAAAGTCAGACAAGAAAAAAAAAAAAAAAAAAAAAACAAACTCCTCTGTGTAGAGGAGTTTAAGAGTTTTTGTCTTTCTATTCACATTATTGCCTTGGCCTTGTTGCACTGCATTAATTTAATTTAACAGTTTGCTTTTAAACTATTTTATATCAATTTAAAGACAGTGATTTTTTTTGCTGTGAACTCACTATTTAAGGTGAGATGCTCTGTATCTTTTGACAGCTCTGATTTCCACATTGTCGCTCTTACATAACTGTGGTGATATAAACATAATGCTCTTTATGCAAGGACCTCTGACCAGCTTAGCTTGCTACTGCTTCTGCTGGAGGCAGTCAAGTCTTACTCCAGGTTTAATGTCACAAATAACAGTACGAAATACAAGTGCACAAGACACAGTAACTGAGAGATCCCTCTCTACTAAGATTTCATGTGCCATATGGAACACCTATCAAAGGCCAGTAATCCACAGAGATTTGCCATAAGTAGGCAAAAGAGGCTGAATTTACATATCCTGTGTTAGATTGAACTTTTTTTCACAGCTGTGCAATATCTTTTCCACCACTGTAGTCATTTCCTCCACTGTCCCATGCTGAACTCTGCCCCAGAAAGTTTCTACTGAAATTTTCACCTGCAGTGAGGTAAAATACTCTCATCAAAATTTTATTTCACTGAGTGTAGTAGAGGAAATCATACAATTCTCTTCCATTGCAACCTGGTCCCACAAAGCACTGGTTTCATCACAGGCTTTTTCACTCAGGACCTGAGGTATAATGTAACCGTGATCCTTGGAGTTCAGCCAAAGGAGAAGGGAATGCTTTGTCCTGTGGGATTCACAGAGAATGGGCACACTTTAAAGAAACATTCCTACCTAGTGATGAAAGGGACTCTTCACCTAAGCCACAATTGCTGATGGTCACAGATCTCAGCTTTGGTAAAAACCTGAGCCTGCCCAGAAGAGGATCTGATGAGAGTCCTGCATTTTTATTCGAGGATAAATTCAGCTCTTGAAGATTGGAGAGTAAAGGTATCACCTGGGCTGCAAAACCATGAAATATTTATTAGACAATCACTGATCCATAGCAAATGTGTAGTTGTATATTTGCCTGACATAATTTCATTTCTTTATAAACTAATCCAAAAGTCAAGGCCAGCCGAGTTTTTACACTCAGATTCATGGTGGGTAATGTTTCAGACCATAAATAGCCTTGTCATTGTCAGTAAAACTGTTTCAGAAATTAATTATTCCATACTATGCAGAAGATTTTCACAACATGGCTTCCTGCAAATGTTCTGGGTGAAGTAGGGAATTCCCAAATGTCTTCATTGCTAACTGAAACTTCTTCATCTTAATATGTCTATTATAAAATAAATTAAAAATAAATAATAATTGTTATTACTAATATTTAATATATCCTAAAGCTTCATCATCGTATCTTCAGGTTATCTTCTTTATCATGGAAAATAGGATGTGGGCAATATAGGGTTTGACTCATGGGATATGTTGTTGTTAAAAGTAAAAACAAAGTTATGATAACACAGAGAGAAAAATAAACTGTCTCACAAATTGATTGGGAAGTGCCTTTTTCTTCATAGTAGTGTTTATAGTTTCATCAATTCAACCTAGAGAAAGCACACAGCAGCAGAAATGCAAGAGCTCCTAAAATCACCCTCTTCTCAGTGTGCAGCTCACCAAGGGAGTTTTAGGCAGTTATATTACCATGGATCCATCCAACTTATACCACTGCAGGAGCTGTCCCTGGATATTTCCTAAATTTTTGATTATCAAAAAAAAAATAGTGTTTGGTGGAAGTTCCCACATTCCCATTGTGGGTCTGAATCACAGCAGATTCAGGTCCTTAGTTCCACATGGGATCAGACACTCTGAGATTTCCTTTTGTTCAGCAAAATAAACCATTCCACATTGATCAAGAAAGCTCTCCCCCACACTGCCTTTTCAGAGCTGCCTAATGAAAAAAGTACTGAGCTCAGCTCTTCTGCCAGGCAGAATTTTTGTGTCTTTGAGATATTTTCAGAAGACAAAACCAAGACCATTAATGAATTTCCTCAACATGTCCTTACACAAAACAGTCATGTCCTCTTCTGTGACACAGCACTGGTGAAGATCAAGGACTTCCAGATTTTTCAAGCTGGCCAAATGAGCTGTTGATGCTTTAAAGCCGCCGCCAATCTCTCTGTTACACGAGATGTCTAATTTCCTTAGCTCTGTGAGGTGCTGCAAAGCAGTGTCTGAAATGCAAAAGGGAACAGTCTGGTCACTGGCTGCCACAACAGCCCAGCTCAGGGCTTTGGCTTCTATTTGCTTCAACGTCAAAGTTTGCACAAGGTATTGCAGGCAAAGCTCCTGGGCTAAGCTTCAGGGTATAATCACAGCAGACATTCAGTAATGCAGCAAAGCCTCCCTGTCCATGCAGCTCCATTCTGGGAGAGCAGGTGAAGGTGAGGCCAGCTCATCCCCCACATCCAGTCAATCCTCAGCCTTTTGCAGAAATTACTGCTGCATGTGTTCATTAATGCCAGTTGTTTTGCCACATCCACTAGGGAGAGACACAGATAAGACCATTTCATGTGGCTTCACTGGACACTTTAAGTGGCAATGGTGAATTTGGATTTCCTTTGGAAAGAAGGATTAGCTTGTTAAAAGTTAGCTGGCCTGTCTGTGTCCTTGTCTATGTTCTCTCTGATGAAAGAGGAAGCACATCCACAGCCACAGCCCTGAGATGTGTCTCAGATAAATGGTGTGGAGGGTGACTCTCCCCACTGACTTTCACAAGCTTCAGCTCAGGGGAGATAAATTGAGCTCCTGCTGAAAGGCCCTGTAGTCTTTTACCAACCCTCAAACAGCAAATCATGATTGCCCATTAGTACTGCCAAACCATCAGCAAAATCCCACCTCATTGCCTTTCTTAAATGGTTTTCAGATGTACAAGTTATTCAGAATGAAAGTTTTCTGAACATAAAGTCTAACCTAAGCCCTGGAGGCTGTCTTGCTTTAATCCACACATGTGCAAGTTTAACTCTTTCAAGCCTGGCACATTTTTCAGATCCTGAGCAATAACCTTCATGCTGCAGCCAATGTTTTTGTTGATAGAGATGTCTAATACTTCAAGGTTTGGGATCACATTTAGAAGTTCAGCTGTGGAAAAAAAAAGAAAAGAAAAGAAAAGAAAACCAGAACTGGTGATTGTCTAGAACACATGCAGATGAACCCTAGAAAAATACAGCACTATGATAAACAGGAAGACGTGACTAGGGTTTGCCTGTCAGTATGGTTTAGATTTGCTAAGTTCCTGTTCTACCTAAACAACCCAGTAAAATAAAGACTAGGAATAATGAAAATCTGTGAAAAACATTTATAAAAATAAAAGTGAAAAAATACAGGGACTGTTAGTAAAATGCACAGGAAAAAAAAAGCAGAAATACAAACAGAAATAAAATTTTCTAATGAAAATTTATAGGAATGTCTGTTACATATGGAGCTCCTCCTGTAGTGGAGATGAGAGCCATGGGGCTTCTCTTTACTGAGCAAACACCTTTTAAAACACACAATGAGATAAAAAGACCACACAGGATTAAGCTGCTGTGGTGAGAGGACAGAAGGGAAGAGTGGTCACTGGTTGCCAACTCTGCCTAAATTCCCAATCCTCAGACCTTCTTTCCAATCCCATGGCTAATTACATATTCAGCTGCTTAATGTTAAGTAATTAGTGTTGGAAATTCTGGCACACATTTTTTGCTGAAGGTGTCAAAAGATCCAGAAATCCTGGCCCTCTGAGGCAGCCAGACTGTGGTTTAGGTCTTTCTCAACCTTTTCTGATTAGAGAGAACAACTTTCTTCTTTGGAAGGAAGTGCATTAAATCCCCACTTCATAAATACTGTTATAATGCAGAACTTGAAATAAATTAACTTTTCACTGATATTGAGTTCAATACAGACATTATCTAAGTCAAATAAGTTCCATTTTTGTGAAGCCAGCCTCAGTCCATCTCCATGGTCACACGTACCAAGTGATTCTCCATCCTTTGCTGTCAGGTTACAGTCTGTAATTTTCAGACATTTTAATTTGCATCCTTCCTGAAGTTTTTTTGTCAGCAGTGATAGTTTTCCACCTATGTTACTGTTCCATGATAAGTCCAGTTCTTCAAGCTGAGAAACAATTTCAAATGCCTCTCCTGCAACAGAAGTTTAGAATGATTCATTCCGTGTATTAATTTCAGTGCAAACAAAATTGCAGGTTTGGAATATATTAAAGAGGAAGGTCAGCTACTTAATGCTCAAATTACTTTATTATTAATGTCTTGCCAGGAAAATTGTTAAATAAATGAATTATTGCTTGTGCAGCAATGTTGTATAAAATCTCACATTGTCTAACGAGCAACATAGATCACAAGTCATTGTCACAGTGCACACAAACCTGAAATTTATTCAGGTTCCCAAACCCTCATCAGGCTGTTTGGCCTGTGCTGGGACCAGAAAGTCCAGTCTACAGGGAAATCAATACAAGTGACAAGTCTGAATTTACTGTCCTGCAGAGTTCTGCTCTGTTTTATTTGGCAAATTTCCAACATGCTCTGTACTGTGTACAAAGGTCATTTTGGAGGGAATGAAAGAATTCCTCTCACAACTATTTCTGAAACATGAAATTTTCATTTCTGGCAGGAATTTCTGACTCACTTCATAGGAAACCTAGATGAGCATTGTTTTGACTCAAACTAACGTTCCCATGATTTCAAGGCAGACAGAACTGACTTTTACCACATTCAGAAAAATCATCCTTTTCAAGGCTTAACACACCTATCAGTGTGAATTGTGTTAATGCTTATTTGAAATACTGACATCCCACTGTAAAATCAGCTTCCTAACTTCCTTTGTAGAGGGGGGAGGCAGAGCATATTTGCATAAACTCATTCCCAAGAAAGATCAAATAATCAGACCATATGCAAATGCAATTTCAAAGTGTCATACTCAATTTTTTGATCTAAAGTCTAATAATTGAGAATTGTATTTTAACAGTAATATCCTTTCATGTCTATGTGGTTTTCATAATTAATTTCTCACAAAATATTTATAATAGAAAAATAATTACTTCCGTAAGTGAATATCTGGGTTTGAGAGGAAAGGTCACATCTTAATTTTTATTTTTGCATTTATTTTAAATTATTGCCTCAGTGTTGAATACTGATCAATGCTCTACAGTTAAGAAGAGCAGCATAGCCTTTTTCTGTTTGACAGGACTATAGAGTTCCAGACACATTTATAACTCCAGGAATTGTTTCCTATCACCTTTCACAGTCAAGCTCTGAGCAACCACATAGAATAGGTTGATATTATGGTTATATTTCAGACATTGATTTCTAAGCAGGATGTGCTGAGTCCACAAGAGGCCACATTTCTGCAGAGAGATGTGGACAAGGTCACACAGCCAGGATTGGCCTAAAAACACAAGTTGTTTTCAAAATCACAGGCAAAATCAATGCAAACTGACTGTTGCTATTCCATGTGTCAAGGGCATCACATTTCGTCTGGAAATTCAAGTTCTGTGATCAAATTTGTGTCTGTCCCAGCAGAAGCTAAACCGAACTGGGAAGGAAACAGCCCTGAAGAACCTGGCAGAATGAATCAATTGGAAAAATAACCCCAAAAAACAAAAATCTATGAGAAAGGTTTGGAAAATAATGAAATAAATTTGAAAAAATAGTAGAAAATTAAATACAGATTTCACACTCATCAGAAACACAGCAGTTATTTTCACCAGCTTTTGTATAGATGCTTATTTCCTCCCCAGGAGATTGCATGACTCACTTTTGATCTACCACTATATATGTCATTTTATTTCTGAACCTTTCCTGGAAAAGGCTTGGATATGAATGACACAAACAAAGCCCAGCTATATAACTCAGACCCAGCTTAGAACTTACAAAATAAGCAACAACTTTTATAATTTCTAGTTGATTGTGTTTGCCCTTCTTTTAAATACAAACCACAGATCCACTTTGAGTAGACTCCAGGCCCAGAGGTGACTCCATGCCAGAACCTGAGTGTGCAACACCACCTCAAAAACCTTTCCATCTCATGCTTTGCAGAAGGCAGGGTGCAGGCAGCCCAAGCAAAGAAGCAACCAGAGGAATAAGCTTCTCCCAGACTTGAAAAAACACCAATGAATAAAGCTCTGAGGCAGCACTTCTGGTTTTAAGTTTTCTCCCGAAAGACCATTGGGGTTTTCATGATGAGCACACACCCCTCCTCCAGCTCCAAAACATAAGTTGACCCTATTGTGATTGACTCTGCTTCTAGGCAAAAAAAAAAAAAAAGCAATCCAAATAAAAAATATTCTTTTCTGCAAATAGAACTGGATTCTGTTCCCTTCTGAGTATGAAAGCTTCACACCCTGAGGAATGAACTCTGCAGAGCTACCTAAAGGTGTAAGGGCACCCATAAGCCCAAGTTTCGACTGTTTCACAGCAGTTTACTTTGCCCACTGTGGAAGCAGCAGGAGTGGGATGTAGGAAGAGATGAGATGGGTTACATTAGCCCCAAGCTGTCAGGAAGTAAATGTAAATGAAATCCTGTACCCAAGGAGATGACATCCTCAGCTGTCAGCCTGCAGTTGTTAAGTCGGAGGACTCTTAACAGGTTCACATGATGAAGTTGGGCAGTGAGAGCTTTCAAAGTTCCTCCAGCACAACCATTCCAGGACAGGCTGATCTCTTCCAGCTCTGGGAGAAATGGCAGTAAAGAAGCTGTAAGGAAAGAAAAGAAAAAGCTTTTCTGTTTGCACACCCTGGATATCAATACAGCTTAATATTGAGATATTTTCTACAATCAAAACAGAATTATAAAGCCATGACAATTTGTACCTCACTTTTCTTGTCTGTATCTTAAGTGTAAAGACATTCATCTGCTTCACAGACCTAGATGATTTCTATATTTATATATATTACATAATTGGTATAACTTATGAATTAATATTTCTCAGAGATTTGGGACCATTAGATGAAATGTTAATATGGCCTGTATAAAAGAAAGGGAAAAGAGGAGAGGGAATTATAGGACAGGCAAATAAAAATTAAAGAAATACATGAAGTGATTATTTGAATAAAATGTGCATTTACCTAGCTCTGTTATATCTGCTGCACTTAGTGCACAATTATTTAGATCCAGATTCTTGCTGCTGGGTTTCTTTCCCAGTTTCTCCATGAACTGGTTAAATCTCTGTTCACCAGATGGTGACTCTGCTTCAGAAGTGAGATGTGATAGTCCATCTGAGCAACAAAGGAATAGAGCCCTGGTTACATCTCCTAATAAACACAAGGTGTAAAACGTGCCTGAGGCTGCCAGGTGAAGACTTTAGGAAATGAATTAAATCTGACAATAAAGCAGGCTCTATTTTTCATCAATGTGGACCAGCAATCTGACTGATAAGATCACTATAGATCAAATCAGTACAAAGGTTTTGCTGCATTTTCATACAACATTTGTGTAAGGTAGTTCCTGCTTTTCTGGGCTTTGCAAAGCAAAAAAAAATACAGAAAATAGCAATCCACTCTCTGCTGTGAGTAGCTGCCCTCCTATCATTTCCCCAAACTGACCCAGACCCATTAGGACAAAGGACATGGTTCTAAGCTTCACCTTTCATCTCCTTTTGAAAAATAGTTCCATTTTCTCTGGAGTGGATATAAAGAGTATCCTTGTGTGTGTAAAATAGCATCCATGAGGGATTCCCATTCCCTTCCTCTGCCCCTGCCCAGTACCAAGTGATAGGAAACATCTGCTCCTGTTGTCTTCAGACTGCTTTAACAAGACAGCAGGACAGAGACCCATCTTAAATACAACAGGCCAAGCTACTGCTCAAAGCTTGGCTCTGAAACCAAATTAGCTCTGGAACTAGTGAGCTGACTTCAGTACTGGTTCTCACATTGCAGATCAAGAGAGAAGTCACCCAAAAACTTTACCCATCCTCAGCAATGTAGGCCTAACTCCTTGCTTAGCACCTATCAAATCAGAGGGTATATCCTTGATAATGTTCCAATCAGAAGTAAATCCTGGCTAGAGGATAAACTGTAGGCAGCAAGTACAGGATTTTGGCTAGCAAGAAAACAGCCGATTTTCTATGAAATTAAAATATATACATGTGTTTCATTATTGTACCAGCATTACCTTCTACAGAGAGATCTTGCTTTTCACTCTGATCATCAGCTCCATAATTGTTTATTTCTGTTTCTTCAATTTCCCTTCTGTCCTTGCCTTCAGATTTCCCAAAGTCAAAGCCTTTGAAGAACTGTTTGATGGCTGAAGGCTGCTCTTTCCTTTTTTCAGGAGCACACTTCTTTCCTTGGAACTGTTTCATCACAAAGTCAAATGGGGAACTCCTTGGGTTGTCCTCTTCATGTCTATGCTGGCAGTTCTGGTCATCTTTCAGGGGATCAGCAGACAGAATTAGTGTGAATTAGAATTTATTAATGTTTACTCTTGCTTACCTTTTTTCATAATGGTAGATGCCCTGAGAATTGGCCTCCGTTGCCTCCATCCAACCATATATCATAGTCATGATACAAGTGTTTAACAGCAGAGCACTTACTATCACAAAAAGCTGAGGCAATGTTTAAAAGCTGACATGAATGTGTTGTCACAGTTGTATTCCTTAGAAATACAAAAATTATACAAATCAATGTACCTTGATGTACATGCACAGTTACTGAGCTGTAGAGCAATCCCGCTTTCCCTAGATGTGATTTCCTGCTGTAGAGAGACATTATTTTAAACAAAGAACATACCTGTCTTTTCCATGGGTACATGAGGTTCCCTTTCACACTTCTCAGTTTTTACAGCACTTTCAGGGTTTGTGGGATAGGTGAGCCATGACATGCAAACAAAACCTCACTCCTTTCCTTAATAGGAACTTTCCGTGCAGTTTTCCCTCCCCAGTTTGTCTTCATCAGTTTGACAGCAGCAGCTCTGCACAAGTGGTTTGTGGGCTCTTTCCTGATGTCTCTATTCCTCTGTTCTCTATCCGTTCCTGGGGTTGAGAAGTCCATTTAAATGCTCGGATCATGTCCCAGCTCAGATCCCTCTCAAGGCAGAAATCAGGAAGTGGCAGCAAAATCTTCGCACTGCTCACACAGCACTGCATGGCCCTGAGACAGCTGCTGTTGGGAGAGTTGAGTCACCGTACAGATCAGATTACAAGAGTACCTGAAGAAAAGCTCTTTGTTTTCCCACCCCTTTTGTCCATACTGGCCAGCAATAGTGCTGGAGGCACAGCTCAGTTAGAAAAAGGGAGGACGGACACTCCTGATCATTTTAGGAGACACAAGAGAAGTCACAATCATCTTCTGGACAACACCATGATACAACATTACAACACAATCATTGGACACACCTTATGTATACTTCAAACTCCGGTACACCTTTTTTTTTTTGTCTGTCTGTCTGTCCCAAAGTCTGATTTCCTCAATGGTGAACATTAAAATTTCTGTTTGAACCATACTCATGGCCATTTATTCTGAATCTCTTTAGCCTTGACAATCTTTTTCAGTCTATGAGGTCTTGCCTTTTGCAGGCTAAACCAGCCAAACCCTTCTCTCAAGGGGCAAACTCTCCATTTCCCTTATCATTTCCTGCTCACCTTTGTCTATACCTGGTGCAATATAATTTATACTTCCTTAAATACAAGGGACCATCCACTGTCTGTATACACTAAAGACATATGCAAACTGGAGTGATTTTGTTGGGGAATGATAAAGCTGGTAAACAAAATCAACAATTAATTTGCAAGGAGCTGAACCAGCAGACACCAGCCTGAGGAAGAGCTTGACTCAGGGTGAAACTCGACAAAGGATTCAGACAGGGTTAGGCACAGGGTGCTCCAAGGAGTCAACAAGGTAAGATGAGAAGAAAAAGTGAAAATCAGGAAAATCCTCTTGCCCATGAGAGGTACCATGCTGAGAAACATGTATAGCAGCTAGAAATGCACAAAACCATTGTGAACAACCATCTTTCCCTGTAGAAAAGGAGGGCACACTTCTATTCCCAAACAGAAAGGATGTCCAAGTTGGCTTTAGGGTTTTCTGACACCAGGAGCGGCTGTCCTCTCTCTGTTTCTGAAATCAGCATCTCACTACAGAGCTGTATCCACATCAGGAATTTGTGCTAATTCACATGTCCAGGCACCTCAGTTATGCATAGTGGAAAATCCCAGTATTTCTGTTGGTGAAGAACTGAATTTAACAGTCTTTTGCTTGTGCTTAACAATGTTAAGAACCAATTACAGTGGTTAGGCTGGACTAACTTACATGCTCTGACATCAGTATTTCAGGCAATGTGCTGCCAATTCAGAAGTTCTTTCACCACTTGAGTTGAGTTCTTTCACCACTGTTGAAAGACAGTGACAATATTCCAGGGCACTCTGACAGCATCCCTGTAATGACCTGGTCTCCTCTTCCTAAAAAGCAAATCCTTACCTTTTTTTACATCAGCTATGAGAGAAGAGGTGCCAACATATTATCCCCCCCAAAAAGCAGGCTAAGGAGAGCGAGGTGGCTGCACTAGGCTGTAAACATGAGCAGCACTTTGCAATAGGCCCAGGCTGAGCTGTGAACATGTAATATATCACGACAGCCAGGCCCAGCCAGGCCCTGTTTGCTGCTCTGTCCATCTCCTCCCTGGCACACTTCTGAACATGTGTCCTGTCCCTGCCTGTCAGAGCCCTGTGTCTGCTTCCTGCAGCATGTCATGGACAGCACAGGACAGGCTTAGCTTTTGGAGTTTAAAAATAATAGACGCCTTCCCCTTTCTATCCAGTTAAATGGCCTGTGACCATCTGCCAAGTGCTCAGTGTCACACTTGTTTATATCTGCTCTCCCCTCTGTCTAGACCTGGGGCAAGGTTAGGAACAGAACCAATTTTGGAACAAAATAGTTTAAGTTGCATCCCACACAGCATCTACTGGGGAGAGATTAATGTGGATTTTTGTACTTTGCCTCATTGTGACTCCTTAATCCGGCATATATTCCAAAGAAATAATGCCATTAGAGGATTAGTGCCACAAGTTCATTTGAAAAAAAGGATTTGCAAACACTGAAATCCTATATTCTATGTGCTTAACCACTGAGTATCATTTTGGGGATTTCCTCTCCCTTTAGTAGTGTCTTCTTTCAATGAAACCCAAGCAAATTAGCAACTCTGTTTTGGATGGCCCTTATTATCCATTAAAGGAAAACAAACCCCCAGGCATCTGGTTAAAATAATAGAGAGTCTAAACACACTGGACTAAACCCATCCTTGCTATCATACAATCACAGTTACGTCAGGGAGGCACTCGGCCTTATATTTATATAGAATGTAATTATTTGGGCTATTTATCTGTTAGAGATTTTTGATAATCTGAGTGCTGGAGCATTTAATAACGCCATGACCCTTGTTTGCTTCCATGGCAGTTCCCTTCCCCAGCTTTGCCTCTGCAGAATTCTCTTGCTTGGCCAGATTTGTTGGGGGAAGTTACATGGAGCAAGGAATTGGTGGGGCTGGAAAAATGTTCATTGCCCCATGGTTTGGCAGTTCCAGGTGTCACACTCTTGAGCTGTGCTGATTCAGAACACAAGTGCCAAGGGAGGGTAAGGGAAGAGTGGCCTGTTCCAGCACCAGGTTTGCTGCCCTCATCATTCCCAGCCACATCACCAAACCATGGTCTCCACAGCTCTCTCCATCCTCTGTCTCCTGCTCTATCCCTTCCATTCATCCTCTGCTTTGACACCCCATAGCAGAGGCAGGGGAATTCAGCCTTGCCTACACAGCTGGGAATCCCTCAGCTGGCACTGATGCTGTGCCACTTGTGCCAAACATCTGCGTCACCCATTAATGTATGTTGACTTTATGTTTACACGTTCTGTATAGCCAGGTGATCCACAGAGCTGCAGGGATTGGCTTTAGGGCCAGACAAAATCCTTCAGAAGAGGCTGCACACACAATGGCTGGAAGGACCATTCCCCAGGCAGTGCCTGCCTGACCTGAAGGGGCTGCACACTTGGCAGGACAAGGCCAGGTTCAAGGCCAGGTTGGACAGGGCTTGGACCAGCCTGGAGAGGGGAAGGTGCTCCTGCCCATGGCAGGGGTTTGGAACTGGATGAGCTTTAAAGTCCCTTTGAACCCAAATCATTCTGGGATTCTGTGATAATCTTGTGATTGTGATAATCAGTCTGGATGAACTGATTGTGTGCAGAGCTGTGTGACAGCCCCTCTTGTCACTGATTTATTATAGTTGTAAGAATTCCAGTCTTTGTATGTTCCAGCATGAGCAGCTAAACACCAACTGTAGAATTCTAAACCATATTATTTTTTACAAAACTAGAATTTACATTACTTCCTATTAAATAGTAGTGACAAGAAGTAGATTGAATATGCATTTTGAATTCCATAAAAAGCAAGACTTATAGATTTATTGCAGCAAATGTACATTTATGCACACGGTGCAGATACTTTTAACACTCAGATATCAAGTTACTCATTTTAAAATGGAGCTACACAAATGTAAACTTAACTTTCAGTCTCTATTACAATATACTAGACTGACAGAGAAGATCTTCAGTCTGGAAAATTCTTTTTGGTTGAACTTCTGCCAGGATTAATCCCCTTTCAGTTAATCATTTACATGAATGGGCAATCTGCAGAGTTCATACAAGGCCTGCAAACTATATTAATTACTAGAAATCTAATTACAAATCAACAGAGTCACAGGATCAGTGTTACCTCCATACGGTACCATCTGCTACAATGGAGCTGGATAGTTCAGCAAAACTCCCCATTGCATTCTGTGGAACCTCAACCTGAATGTGTGTTGCCAGAGAGGGCAAGTTTATGCAGATACAGGAGCTGGTTATAAACTATTTTTAGGGTCATCCTTAATGACACCATCCAATCTCTGTATTCTAGCTGCTGTTTCAAAAGTTATTACCAAAAAAATATTTGTTCAATACTTTTTGAATGCAATACCAATGCTGCCATTACTTGCCTTTACATGTCCAAAAATACCCTAAATCCATACAAAAGGTAATGAAAAAAAATCACTAAACAAGCAAATCTGAAAACATGTCTACTATAAAATGCTTTCATTAAATGTATTATGCGTATTGTGATTTGCTTCATTAATTATTACTCCAATTTAAAAGCTATGTCCATAAATTCCATAACTGACAGGAACATGGCGCAGTGCAGCTTTCATTAAAATTTATTTTACCAATATATTTTATCTTTCAGCAAATGGTCAGTCTGAAAGCTTTGACTAAAATGTATCAGTCTCATTTTACACCATGTTAGCCAAACAAAAATACAGGTCTTTGAAATCTCAACTTGTATGGTTTTACATCCAACCTTCTAAACCATTTGGACACAAGGTCACATAAAATCCAGTAATCTTTCCACAAACAATGTTTGGTCAATTGACTTTTCAAAGGAATTCAAAAGCATTTTCAAGGGTTAGCCGTATTTCACCCCTGAGGTTCACTCATTGGCTTTGGAATTGAGATCAGCCACACTAAGTAAAATTGAGTAGCTTCAGTTTTGCCCAAAGTTTGACTCCAGTTCTCCCTGATTAATTCCCAGATTTCCCTTGGGAATGAGAGAGCTATGTAATTCACCTAGTCTCTCCAAATTCTCTCAAGAACAGTAGTAAATGTAATGCTTTTCCACTAAACAACCAATCATGTTGCAGCCTGTTCCCTTTGCAGAATCTGCTGACCTTGTCAGTGTGAATTTAGTACAGGACAACACCAAAGGTGGGCACTTTTCAGTGTCCTGCAACTCAGAAAGGAGCAAAATCATCTACCCTGCAACCAAAGGTTTGGGGAAAAAAATTAACTCCCAAGGAGTGTTCCAGCCTGAAGGACATTCTGCACAGCCCAGTCCATTTCTGTCACACTCACACAGGTTTGCCTGTTCCCTTCTCTGGTTGTTTTTCAATTTCTTGTGGACCAAGACCCAATTTCCAAGACAGCGTGGCACTGTAAAGTCTGGTGGTTGTTTCTAATCCTAGGGCACAGCTTCTGTTCAAGCTCAATCTTGGACTGGCCCCAGACTTTCTAACCCATCCATCAGACCACCCCCCCTCTTTACTTTGCTTCTGATAACTGTGCTCTTCTAGATTAGACCTTTCTGGGGGAAACGTGGAAGGAAGTGAGGTTTAGCTAAAAATCTGATATATCTAAACACAGATTACATGTTGGAAAAAGACAGGTTGACCTGTGATAAATAAGCCATTTATCAAGTTCTGTCTCCATTCATTTCATGATATATCTCCATTAAAGTGGAGATAAGTAGATTTTTATCTTGCTCCAGTAAACTTGATAAGAAGAAACAGGGATTATCACTCTTTCACAGATTCCCCACTTAGGACAGACAGTGTTTAGAAAGAATGGATTAAAACCCGCTTAGGCTCTAGTTTAGCAGGTTCTCTACTTCTACAAATCCATTTCAGCACTGCATTTTGGTAACCAACATAATTCTTGAACTGTCTATTAATTATTAGAC